GGGCTTCACAGGGATCTTTAGCTTAGGTAAAAGAAGCGTTGCTGCAGAGCAAGTGGGGAAGGAGAAGTAGAGAAGGAAAATATACCCAGTTACTACCAGTTTGACTATAAAAGTTATTTATTGCTAAGTATATGAAATATATAATGGCATTAGTAGTAATAGACATGCAAAGGAAAAGCAAACACAAACAATTACAGTATTACCCTGGTTTCACTAAGTATTTGGGGACACTTAGCTCATGCTTAAGTAATACAGTTCAGGTTCTGAAATTTATGCCTAGAGAGAAAAGAGAAAAAAGAGAGAGAGCTGGGATCTCACCAGTCCAAGGCACTCAGTTTGCAAAGCTGACAGGTTAAAGTTCTCAGCACGACCCTTGAAGGGAGACAATCTGTTCTTCCAGCGTCCCAAGAACAACAGCGGGTGGTGTGCGAGATACTTCTTCTCTTGAAGCGCACACGCACTTTGCTGCTTTTTTTACAGATTTTTATACCCTCAGTTCAGCTTCTTTCAAGCCTTCTCAATAGTGTAAATCATTGTCTTTTCTCTTGACAGGGGGTTATCTGGTTTGGAACATCTCAAGAAACTGATTGATAATCAGGAAAAACGTAAGGTTAGGGAGTAACCAGACACGTAGGAGCCAGCTTGAAATTCCTATGGATAGCAGATATACTGATGGGATATCTCCTGGTTTCTTCAGAAACAATAGATAGCTTGCAGCATCAGGGTTTTGGATTTTTACTTGTGAACAATCCTCAGCTTAGCATGGCTCTTCCAGTCTTTTAACAGACTCAAGGCAATTATTGGAGTGTTCATAACCTTTGCGGGGGGAGGACTTCCACCAGTCATCCCGGAAAAAGTATGACAACACTTGTGGTCAGGGCTCCAACAAGCTGGACTCTGTGATGAACCCTTTACCATGATTCAAATGTTGCCCATACCCCCTCTGACTCGGTCTCTTGCCTCAGCATTCCCTAACCCAGCAACTGAGTTTTAGCCAATTAAGTTTAAATAGGCTTCCCATAGTGGGCCAGGGGCTGTACTGCCCGAGATGCCTATTAAACTTTACTTCTGCTTAGAGGTGTGTGTGTGTGGGGGGGAGTCCTTTGTAAATCCAGATTAGAACTGGTCTGATAAATGCTGAGCTGGATGTGTGTAGATGTGGCTTGATTAGCATCTGGAGCACAGATTCCCCATCATGCAGTGCTCCCCTGCTTCTCTGATCCCAGAATTCACTGCAGTCTCTGCTTCAGGCTTTCTGTTCTCCATCTTCCCTGTAAATGAATGGTCATCTGGTTCCATCTCAGATGCAAATGAGACCTAGGGCAGTTGTTTCACTCTTGTCACCCTTATCTGGAGGGTTTTAGGTGCGTCTCCCACTGCAGCTTAATCAGTTTTCGTTTAGGTAGAGGGGGGGATTCTTGATGAGTCAGACAGTCTGCATCCTGTGTCAGAGTTCCCCAAGAACATGGAGCTGAGAGGTAATGGGTGCTGCACCTCTAGACTTTCTCTACAGTGAACTATGATTTAAAGCCACAATCAAACGTTTGTAGAAAGCCCCAGTGTGGTTCTTTCTTTGTAGAGGACTATATGCACCTATAAAAATAGTTTTCAGTACCAGTGTTCATGAGAATAAAGCAAATGTCACTGACAGATGGCATGGACAATGTGTAAAATTAGGGTATGGAAACTAAAAAATGAGTCACACCCAGTTATACAAAGATGATTTTTACCTGTTCAGGAGCAGTGAAATAAAAACTGTTCTTAAGCTTCATAACTGGAAGTTGGATACAAGCTACACATGTACAGATCCTTGTGATAACAAGTTTTGTGGCTGAGAAAGTGTGCTGTGCACTGAAGCTACAATTTCTGTGGCCTCCCTCCAGAAACCACGCAGGAGATCTGAAAAATTTGAACTTAGGAAACAAACACTCTGTAAGATAGTTGTAGCAGCAAAATATTAATTGAACATAGCACTGAGGTGACATCCCATTAAATGGGGAAGTTTGCAGAATGAGGTAAGCAGTCCTTCATGAATAAAATGGATTGTATCTCTCAGACTGATGGCATAAGAGAATGCAGACATTAGCATAATCTAGGGATTGTTGGTAAGTAGGGGTATAATGGCTAAGCCCATTTATACCAAAATTAATCAGTGGAATTATCTTTTTTCAAAAAAATGTATGCTTCATCAATTTTCTGTGTAGTCTCTTCTCTCTCAGGTCCAAGTTCACCACTGGTTTAGGACTACAGAATTCCATTGCCTTTAGTAAAGTTGCACTTCTTCACAGCAGTAGCAAATATGCTCTAAAGTTCCTAACTGTAGTTTAGCTGGGAGAATAAAGTATTGATGCTGCTAATACCCCGCTCCCA